TAGATCATATCATAAGAGAAGAGGAATATGCTGGCATAATTATTGCTGAAGAGATGTAAGGATTCATTGTCCTTTTCATAGTTATCTAATTATGCATTTGTTGTTGTACACTACATAACCTGCGTATTGTTCCTGGATATTGCGGCATTTGCTAAAAGCAACTGAAGCATTCTAGAGATAGAATCTAAGATAGGTAGAAAACTTTCTTTCTTTCATTCTTTTTTTTTCTTTCCTTTCATGTTTTTTCTTTTTTTTTTATGTTTGTTTCTTAATTTAAATTTGCAGTCATACATGCATCAAGTAGCTTTAAATTTGAGCGTATGTAGAAAACTTTCTTTCTACCTTTTTATTTTCTTCTTTCTTTTCTCATTTCTTTATTTTTCTTATAAATTTACAATAAAATAGTTCTGAATATGAGCTTATACGGAAAGTCCATCAATGAGAAAGAGGTACCTTGTCATGTTTCATGATCACATATTAGTATATTGAAGTGGTTTTTTAGACGGGTTAAGATGAGCGGATGATGTTGGCATAGTTGTTGGTAAGAAGAGTTAAAACATTATTTTTGCTTTCATTGTTATTGAATGAAGCACTTTTTATCATTATGCTATTGACCTATGTATTGATCACTGATTGCATATTCAGTTTGGATGGTATTCTTTGTTAAAGGGTGTTAGTCTGTCTCCCTTTTAGTTTATTTCTTTTTTCCTTTTTTGGGAGTGTATCTAATCCTCTTTTTTTTGTATATTCTTCTTTTCTCTTTAATATTACTTTTTTTATAGAAAAAAACCTTATTACATATTAGTATGATCTCCTTTAGGCAGGGCAAGAGTCAGGGATGAGAAAATAAATTATTGCCAATAAGAGATAAAAATTCAACTTTTACTTCCTTTATTCAGTTCCTTGATTTGGGTACTGTAAACCTGCTGCACTTATTACAGAAATATATATATATATATATATATTCTATGATCTAGTCTGATGTTTTTTCCTTAGGCATGTGCTTTGGAAAAGTAGATCACAAAATTAAATTGTTATTGCTAAGATGTATTAGCTGTCATTAGTTTGTTAAAATAAATTATATATTGAAAATACAGGAAAAGATATTCTTGTTCCTATGCCTAATTGTCCTTTTTTAATTACTTTCTTTTTAATTATGTGGTTGATTTTAGCTATGTATGATGCAACAGAAGATCCTTTGCTGACATATTTTTCTCAACAGAGACGGATTCTTAAGCGTATGTATTATTTTCAACACAATCATCCTTCTCTGTCTCTCTTGATCACTTATTCCTGTTATATATTAGTTTTGTTCATTATTATGCCCCTTATATTTTAAGTAGGTTCTGGTTGCTCCTATTAATGTGTTTTAGTATTTGAACTCTATAGAAACTTACATATTGTTGGATGATGGTGATATCTATCTCTGGGATGTCAAGCTGATGTTGGTGCTGTTTTATTAACATATCTACTTTTGTTATGTATCATTATGATGCTAAATTGATCATTGCTGCAGCAAGTTACCTTCATACGATTCATGA